ACGTGTATAAGTGCAAAAGGAGACTTGTGTGTGTGTGTGTGTGTGTGAGAGAGAGAGGTGTAGGTAGGTCGAATAGCAAGTCGCATTTATGCAGACGATCATAATCATATACATATTCATAATTTAATAGTAGTTTCTCAATCATATTAAACGCAAACATTATCAATAACATTTTTTTCTCTATCATTCACGAGCCATTAACACCATCGTCTTCATTTTTCATCATATTACTCATATTTGTAGCAGTAGTACCTGATTAGCCGTGCTGATGAGTGAGCCTATCAAGAGTTACTGCCTATTTTTATGTTAGTTGGAATGACACTTGATTAGTTGGCTTTACTGTAGCCATGGGAGCTGTCTCCTCCGGCCTCGACGACTGGCAGGCATCGTGTAACCGAGACGGCATTCTTCACTAAGACATCACAAAATGCCCTCAATGCTTGTACGCAAGTTGCCAAGTGATGTGCCGAGGTTATCGGTTCATTTTGAGGCGTGTTGTTGGGTTGACCTCGGGCCCACATTTCTCAGAAAGAGCCAACATTTCTGTCACATTGCTGGCTGAGTGGGCGGCTTCTCTCCTCGCAAGCCTACAATCCCTCCTGGTCTAAATGGTGACGTACGGCGACGGCGACGGCGACGGCGACGGCGACGGCGACGGTGGCGCGGAAACCACAAGTCCGAAAGCCCTCCAAAGGGAGTCTGCAAAGTGGTCAGGCCAACCACAATCGTACAAGTTGCTCCTTCAACCAACAAGTCATCACTGCCTCTCTCTCACGCGCCGTCGGCATCAGTCAACAGAACAGATGCACAGTCGACGTGTGCCGTGGGTGTGCGGGGATGCACATGTGTGTGTGTGTGTGCCTCTTTCTCTCTCTCTCTCTCACACAAACACACACACACACTCTCTCTCCAAGTGGAGATGGGGAGAATTCTGTATCTGCCCGGAGCCGCAGGCCAGATCGCGTTCACTCGCAAGCTTGCCGAAGATGAGCGAAAGGAAGAGGAATTCTGATGATTTTTTTTGCTATTCTTTTCAATGTTTGCGTGAAATCACAAATCATATCTGCCAGTGTACAGATTTGGTTTCACCTGCTATTCGTATGATTTCCAGCATCGGAACGTTGACCTGGTACATTGCTAGACGTTTTGCTGGCCTGCCAGTCGGCAGCTTCTGCCAGAAAGAGACGTCGTTGTGGACATTTTTGTCGACTTGCCTCGGTTCGAGCTAAAAGAGGAAACACACTTACCTCATCACATGTCCCGTTGGCGAGTGTGCCTTTTGCGACACGCATACACACACACACACAAACGAATACACCCAGCACAAGCGAATGTCTTGGCCTGTGTGAAACGGAGCTGTAGTGACGGTTTTGTATGAATATTGGTAGAATTGAAGACCACGATGGTGTTGTATGATTATTGCCTGCCGGGGTGGCTAGCCGGTACGTGATAAAGCCTAACTTGGACAACAGTGTCGTTTTTGTCAGGCAACAGTCGCTTCGACATCGCGAACCCGAGACCTGTGTGTGTGTGTGTGTGTGTATGTGTGTGTGTGTGTGTGACGGGACGGGACGGGACGGTTGTATGTTTGTCTGCTGAATGGTCGGATAGATTGGAGTGTTGTTGAAGGTCCACCATTGCAATTGGAGGCAACAGGACGCAATGTCGCGCAACGCGACGGAATACGACGCAACGCGACGCAACGCGACGTAAGCATTTGCCGACGACGACCTCGCCTCGAGTCTCCGTCTGAAAAGTTGGCGGTCGCCTGAGTGCAATTAAAAAAAAAAGAGGCCTTCGCCAAAAGCTGATTAGCCCCAATTTTGGTACATCTTCCGACTGGCCCGCTGCTGCCG